ACACAGCCAAAGGAAAGTGGGATTCTATGTATGGTTTTAATGGAAACATTTTAAACTAGACCTATGTTTAAGTAAGTGAGATAATACAGAGGTTTGAATCTGTTGAAATGCTCTTCTTGTACATACGTAAAATAAAACTATGGACTTATCTTGCCTAAAGAGAGAGACTAGCTAAGGAATTCCACAATCATGTTCCTGCCTGGGAGCTGTCTGTAATGTGAAACTATAAGGAGGTAGGCAGGCACACAAAGAGAAAAGATTTTTCATTTCTTCTTTGAAGAATAAGGAGCAAATTCTGCCCTCAGATACTATGTAAAAACTGCTGTTATAGCAAATTGATTTTTTTTTCTTACAAGTTAGAATATGCCCTAAATGATGGGAAAAAAAAAAATCCCTTTAAAGTCAAGCTTTCAGTCAAATAAATACGCTGAGTATGAAGCCATCTATCTAGACAAAGGAAATTGGTAGCAGGAAGTTTTCATACTACTAGATAACATGTTTGTACTGTAAATCTGTCCCTTCCTAAAGGGTAACTATACACCTCTCAGGTATGATTATTGGAGGAATCTTACCACAACTGCCTTTTGCCTTCCTCAGGTTGGAGTGAAGCCCTGCAGCTGCCTCAATGGTGGAACATGTGTTACCAATATTAAATTCCCTCCTGGCCTTGGAGAATACCTGTGCTTATGTCCAAATGGATTTGATGGAGAATTTTGCCAGGCAGATATTAACGACTGCAAATCAAACCCCTGCGGCAGCGGAACATGCACGGACAGTGTGGATAGCTACTTCTGTAAATGTCCCCCTGGTTTGGGAGGTAACACCGCACTGTTTCCATCTCTGATTTAACTAGAGAGATACTGTGCTACAGCACTTTTTGAGTGCAGCATCTGTCAAATGGCCGAGACAAGCCTCCTCTTCTGCTCCCATGACGTAGCACTAGACATAGAAAGTGGGCAAACCCAGCTATCTATTTATCCATGCTCAAGGAAGGAAAAATGACCTGGAGCTCTGTGGTCCTGAAATGATCACTCAAAGAGGCTGGGAATATCCCTGGTCTCACTGTCCACCTGTTTATTTCCCATGGATTTGTCTGTCCATGAGATGAGCTAAGGGAAGATGGAGCAGAAGAGAGAAGAGGCAAACATTTGAGGAGGACAAGAGGACCCTTTTGAACTCTGTGGGATTTTACTAAACTATGGCAAAGAAAGAACTATGAATTAATACTTTTTCTGGGTTTGGAAGGAGAAATAGATATGGAAAACGTATAAATAAATTGTCCTTTAGTCCCAACTTGAAGCTTCTCTAAATTTAAGCATTAGAAAACCACAAGTGCATTCTGTTACTCAGCATGCTGATGGAACAAATCTAACTTTTTACACTGTTCAGGGCTGGCCACAGTATGATTTTTAAGGAATGCAGGGAAGAGGAATGATCACTGCAGCAACACAAGATTCTTTTAGAAAAGCAGAATGAAAAGTATGAAGAGGAAGATTTGGAGAACAGAATACAGTGAGGCCGAAGAGGTGGATACAAGACATAGAGTGCAAACAGGAAAACCTGAAATGTGATGGGACAGAGAAGCACCTAAGAGATAACACAGATGAGGAGAGAACATGTTAGTACCTATCGTGCAATTTATAGTCAGCTCCACTGCACTCGGGACATCTGTGAATGATTCACACACATGAAAAAACACTTGTGACAACATGTGGAGAACTCGCCCGTGTTCTGCAGACTGGAACCGGCAGCTCCAACCGTTGGGCGCTCTGCTGCATTAAGCTTCTGGGGCTTTGCTGAGCTGAGTGGCTGTTGGGTCTCACAGAGTGCCTAGCACCCCCTCCAAGCTCGGCCCCAGGCTCCTGCTGCTCCTAACACTGCTCTCTTCCAACAGAACAGATTTTCACTTTGGCCAAAACATGCCTTTTCCTGGAGTTTCACAGAAGTTGTGGTCTTTTCATTTGCAGCTCCACTCTTCAGGGGTACAAGGCAAATGTGCACATACAGGACTTGAACAGGATTTCTAAACCTGGCTCTTGCTTAGCTTTGCAGACAAAGGGCCAGTTAAAACCCCAGCCACTCACTCATCCCGGTCACTGCGCAGTCTTTGGAAAGTAAAGACATTGTGTAGCTATCCATTCTTGTCAGAGTCAAATTAGTCTCCTGCAAGTGAAAGGCGCTAACTGAAACTGTCAGAACATCTCTCAGAGGAGAGTCATTTCAAAAGCAGAGTAAGAAAAAAAACACCTTAAGCTGAGCTCAGGTTTCAGGCCTCGAACCTGTCAAAAACCCTACTCTGTTCACATACAGAATCATGAATGAATTCATGAAACCCATAATGTTGGCTGCTGTGCAATGCTATAGGTTTGAAAAATCAAGTAGAAGTAACACCAAGTGCACATAATTATATTACTGCTTATAGCGTGTATATACAGAAGAAACTCACTTTTAAACAAAACCAATGAACAGATTTTACCCAGTGGGCTCATACAGGCAGGCAGCGAGGTACCCTTTCTGCCTTTCAGCAGTGCATGAAACCCTCTTTGCTCTGGTCATGTGGGTTTACAAGTCAAATTTCATTACCTATAAAATTCCAGCATAAATGAAAAATAAAATCATTCCAAAACAGAAGTTCAGAAAAACTGGCCTAAAAGATCCATGACACCTGGATAGGATTGAATTCAGGCAATGTTACCAAATACTCAAAGCCTTGCTGCTATCAAAAGTGTCTGTGCCACAAGACTCTACTGCTGCAGAAACACACAAGCCTAAGCATGGAGACCGAAGCCAGAAAATGAAAGTTTGATGAAAATATAGAAAACTCCAAACCAAACTAATGTATAAAGAACGTCTCGAACCCCCTGGGTGGGGGGAGGAAGGGGGGGGAAACACATTCCTATGATCACAGGGAAATTTGACTGTAATGGGTTAAACACTAGAAATATACGAGAACAACTCTTCGTTGTCTGTAAGGAGATGGATTAAATTAAAAAAAGCAATATAATTCCATGAGTCCACTTCAGTGGACCTGCTCCTGTTGTTTGATCTCCGCCCCACTTTCACACTGCTGCCCTTCTCACTTTATGCGGTATTGCATATAGATGGAGTGAAATCAAGCTCTATTATTTCGCATAAAATAGTCTGCCACAATTGCAATGCATTGTTTATAAATTCACATGGGGCATATTCTGAAACGTGGTTCTCATTCTTACACAAACAGTAAAGAATGAAACACCCAACACTTAACAGCTTGAAAGCAATATACAGCAGATGCTAGAGACAATGTCACAGGACACCTCGATGTGCAGAGGAACACCAGGTTTTTCTGAACCCTTAATTCTTGCCAGGTTGAATAAATGAGGGTTTGGTGGTTTTTTTTGCTTGTTTGTTTTTGTATTTCCCTGGCTTAAAATGCTAAAACACAAGCAGCAACAACAACAAGATATGATTGAGTGAAACACAAATACATCTCAGAGTTTTAATAGAAGGTGAAAAATTATAAGCAAGTGGAGCTGAAAGCCAGCTGGGAAGTAGGTGATTTTACTTCAGGGCAGGTTCTGTGACAACAATAAAAGCTCATCCTTGATGCTGTGTTTATGTCTCAATTCCCCAGAAAACCATCAATAATCTAATGAGAAGGCAATGCTATACTGCTCAAGTGACAGCACCACTTCACCATCAAATCTTTACAAATGACAGTGAACAGGTAGTGGAAACAAAAAGTTAACTCTTTTGAGAGCTTCCCAAATGCCACTGCACGGGAAGCAGCAGCACAGGGAACAGAGTGCGTTGCTAAGCGGTAGGAATCCACGTGCATCGGTGTATCTCAGGCAATCTAAGGTTATAATGTAGGAATGGGAATAAGGCAGCAAGAGAAGCCATTGGAAAATCAGAGAGATGGATGACTCCAGAATTATTACTACTTTAAATTTCTAAAGACTTGCATGCGTTTATCCCATCGAGTGTACAAAGCCCATTCATTTTTCTTCAACACTATTAACAAGATAAGAAGGATTCCTGTTGTTTCTTCTTTTGATAATTGAAAGCAGGAACATCACCCACCTGAGAACAGTACTCATCCTTGAAAATTGGATCTCAATCACAAACCCCTTCTTTCTTCACCTGTGTACCATCGATTAATGTAAAATTGGGGCATGGAGGAAGACAGAGTTATAATTCCATCTTACTTTTCAGGAAACTGAAAAAAAAAAAGAGAAAAGATTTATTCGTTGTGTATTATAGCCATAGAATCCCTAAAGAGATTGCCTGTTCCTTTAGAGTAAACTTAATGTGAATACAGTAAAAAAGTTTTTCTCTGCATCTGTAGGTGGGCAGCTGCTCTTGAGGCATGAAAGGACTTTATCTTCTCAGCCAATTTCCCATGCAGGGATGGAGAAATAGAGCTGGCACAGAAACAGATGTTTCAACCTTGCAACTTGAACATCTTTTATTCTTATTATTTTTATTTGTACTGTAGTGCTGCCAAGAGAATTGAGACTCCCTTGTGTTGCAGTGCACCAGAGGTCATGCAAACAGAATAATTGACGCTTTTTGGTACGGACAGTTTTCTGCCCATTTCTGCTGTGTCTTCAGCAACCTTCAGCCAAATTTCAGACTTTGCAAACATTTGTCCTCAGACTCAGCTGGATTATCATTACACCCAAATTGATCAGATACTGTTTGAAATCAAAACTCTCAGTGAAACAAAGCGCTAGCATAGTTCCACCTTTACATTACAAAATTCAGTCAAGTGGATTTTAAAATTTAGTTTGTTACATATTGTGTTCCTATGCTTTTTGTAATGCTCTCATCTTTGAGATTTTTAAAGACAGTGCTTTGCAGCAAAAAGAGGGTATGTCGGAGGGAGAAGAATGGCTGTTGATCTTCATTTCTACTTTCATTGTCTGTGGCATCATGTTTAGTCTTTATATGATATTCTGAGAAAGAAAATAATTACTAATCTAATCAGAGGGTAATTCATTCAAAATTTTCCATAATGTGATGTCTAATAATTACCCAATGCGTCATCAGAAAGCAGAATCAGAGAAAAGGAGACTGAAACGTGCTGATTAAATTATACAATAGAAATAGTAACCCAAAATATAACAGGCGAGGAATAAAAGTAAGTTAAGCCCCGCTATACTATGTTATATCCAACTCAAATGGAAGAAGTAAGAGGCATGCAAAACCAGGAAAACTTAGCTCGAGATGGCAACAGAAAAGGGACGTGGCTTTTGCGCTGCTGTTCTTTGTTTTCCACAAGACAAAGCAGGCATGAGAAGGTGAAGTTGCCAGCTTTTTTAAGGCAGCTCAATCAATACAGATTTCAGTTGGGTTTTTTACATGGAGATGTTATTTTAACTTGAAAGAAGTAGTGGAAGATCTCTGAAATGCTGAAGCAATGAGAGATTATGTTGTGGGACATGAATAATAATGTTCTGTTTTTATCATCCTGTACTTCATTCCACTGTGACAAATTTATTTTTTGAAGGAAAAAAAAATATCCTTTTATCCTTAAATCTTCTTTTATGATAAAACTGGATATCTGATACAGAACAAGGCATTCTATACCTTGTGGTATGTCTTGAAGCAGGTACATGGACTCTCCAGAAGCTGTCCCAATCTCTCTGGGTACTCCTACAAGGAACAAAGGGCACGGCTTAATAGAAGTGGTGTGGGCTAGTTTACGACCTGCTGTCAGGGCTGCATATTCTGGTGACTAGCAATAGCCAAGCAAGTTTTCTCAAGTGCACAGAGAGCGCAGCACGCATACCTGAAGCCTGAGGGAGATTTTAACAGCATTATACGTGATTAGTCTGCATCATTTGCTGTTCAGATAATAATTTTAACTTTTGGGTCACCTTCCCCTATAGGTATCCATTAAATCATCCAGAGCTGTGAATCTGAATATCAGTTGCTTCAAGGGATTTTTAAAACCCCATTTCCAGAGTCAGCAATAGCCAAGACACGTTGTTTTGGGTTCAGATCCTACAGCAGCTTATCTTCTGAACACCAGCACTGTGGCTCAGAGACATTTTCAGAACATCTCTTCAAATTTCAATTTTAAATAGAAAAAAAGGGTTTTTTTGAAAAATTATCATTTTGTAAGGTTTACCTACCACCAGACTCTATCAGGCTGGTTCACAATAAGCCCTTGTGAGGTTCACACAGAAATGAAAAGCACAATAGGTCAGCACATGGCTCTCTGCATCCTAAAGCCAAAATGGTGACACTCATTGGCTTCTTCAGTATATGACAAGGATCTCACATAAACAAGACAGCAAAAGCGGTGGCAAAGATGCGAAATGCAGGGGAAATAATTTATTTAACATGCACAGTTTTCTATGAGCAGTAGTCTCAAGTTCAGCACTTCTGGTGCCAATAACGACAGTAATAAACAGTGTGATAAAAGCAGGTTTAAGTGAGACAGTGGGGAATTTGGCACTAACATGAGTGACGTACCCTGTAATGAGTTTACAGCTGAGAAGTAAGCCTTAGTCTGCTTCAACATTTGAGCTGAGGAATAAACAGGGAATCTTTCTTGATTATTAACCTCCCCTTTGTTTTGCCACAGGGCTTACTTGTCAGGAAGACAGGAATGAATGTGAAGAGAACCTTTGTTTTCCTGGAGTGTCTTGTGTGAATACCTTTGGATCATATGCATGTGGAAGTTGCCCCAGTGGGATGGAGGGAAATGGTAAAATTTGCAAATGTAAGCATTTTGCATGATTTACTTTCATAGATGGGGAAAAATGGGTCCAATTCTACTACTATTATCCTTACTCGAATATTTTACCACTCAAGTATGCACCTTTAAATATACAAAGCAGACTATTGTCAAGTTATATTAATATAGATAATTGCAAATTGGTCTCTATTTGCTATTTTTCACTGCAGTTTAGTTTCATTTTGATTAGAATGAACACTGCAGCATATAAAAGAAGTATTTTCCAGATGCCAGCTTGATAGTTTGCCAAGGACATGTTCTCCACTGTTTTGCTCCTAAATATACCATCTATGAACAAGTACTTGGGGAGTAACTCCAGGATTATTTTTGTTTGGGGCAAACACTGTGTAAACATGACGTAGAGTAAGAGGAAGAAGGTCCATGTGCAAAACCTTCAATACACCTTTGTTTCCAAGGTATGCTTCTATTAGAGGATGCAATCCACAGCTGCTGAGCTCATGCTTGGCGTAAAGTCATGCCACAGGTCCCATCTAGTGAAGGAAAATGGCAGGAACAATTTTATACCTGCTCAGGATTTGCTGTTGGGCCAAAATTAGCAGAGCAGATACAGTGAGTTTGTACTCTGATGGGACCTTCCAGCACGTGGGATTGCTCTACTCATACTCTGCTTGTTCCAGTGATAGACACACAAGTTTTCTCTAAAAATAACATTTGGTTGGACAGGAGAGAAACCAACACTTGAAGTGTTTTGCCTTTGGTTGGTTGTTTTTACAAAGAAACAAATGTTACAAATATTAACTTTGAAGGTCTAAACTTTTCCTTATATTGACTACCAAAAGGAAAAAAAAAAAAACCCAAGAAAAACCCAAACCTATCTGATGCAAAAGATTCAGTTGCAACTGCAGGATCCTGGCACCACCAGGACTGCCTTTGCCAGATTTACCAAATATCCCTTCAATCATATTGCCAAATGTCTGTACAGAATGTTTTTTTTGCTGTATTTTTTGGCCACATTCGTTATTTCAAAGTGATTTCACATCTGTTTCAACTGACGCACATTTTTGTAGCTAATTTGACTAATGAAGGAAGGATATAAAAAATAATGCCCTTTTTTGAAACATACCATAAAAGACGTTTCTTCTGTATTTTCTTTTAATTACAGAAAGATCCCTCTATTTCCAAAATGTACATTCATTAGAAGGAATAAACCTGAGGGCTTACTTGTCCACCCAAAATAGGATAGAAACCATTCTTTTTGGTCCTGTTATACAGACTTAACATACCTACTCTTACTACCCTTACTGAAGCAAGCATAAAAGCTTCTGGGAGGAAAGAGGAGCAAACTAAAGTAACTTTATGGCTGTTAGAGTGGGCTATAGCTCATTGTCCCATTTAAAATATGTAAAGAGTCATAATCTCAGGATTTATTAAGAACACAGAATATCCAGGAGACCCAGGGCAATAGTTTTTTAACTCACAACATATAGACCTTACACAGACATATAGACCTTACACATACACATAAGGTCCACAAAGACTTTACAACCCCTAATTCATTCAAGAAATTATCGTAAAACTGTGCAGAAATCAATATTTTTTAAACCCTCCACCAATCCATTTTCCTCTTTACAAGCATCTATGCTTTGCACAGATATTCTGACACTTATAAAGTTTGCAGCTGGACTAACCGAAACCAATGAACGTGCACAACGTGGTGTCAGACAGCAGCTTTCCCGGGGAGCCAGGAATCCCACAGAGCACCGGTCCCAGTGTGTAGTACAGCATTTGTATCCAAGCAGCAGTGCTGTCTAACACCTGCATACCGAAGGCCTCCTTGCCGCCCTTAGCTCAATAAAAGATCACTGGGCATATTAAGTATGTCGCTCAGATAAGCAAAGTTCAGTGAGTTTGGGCACAGTAATTTTTTCTATATTTGTGATGAAGCTTTGCTGCATGTCAGCAGCTGACTCACCCGATTTGCCTGTATTTGCTTGATGGTTGGCTTCCAGAATAAACTTATGTCAGGTTATCTGATTTGCTGTTGCTGTGGCTTTTTATCATCAATCACAGCTAAGCTCTAACACCTTGTTTCCTTGTCTCCCTGCTTTCTTTTCACAGCTGTGCTTGCTGCTGACGTTACGAAAGCTTTAAGCATTGAAAAAGGCAATGGCGAAGGTGATTTGAACAAGACCGAGGTTAAACAGCTACTGCAGTCCTTAGAGGCAAAGGATTCTCCTGTAATTAAGGATTCTAGCATGAGTGACAGACATGGTAGGTATAGGAGGGTATGAAATCTTTTTCAGTTGCTGCAGTTTACATATTCAGAAGTCATATATTTTACCATCTTAACAGTAAACATAAACTAGCTGTTTATAGTTTACTGTAGAAAGATAGAGTTAAAAATCAAAACTCCCCTCCACACACCAGACTGGATTGCTGCTACACAATTTTACATGGGAAGAGAGCCATTACATCAACAGCAATCAGAGTGGTCAGGCTGAACCAGAAATTGCATCGCTTCTGAGGTAGAGCAAAATCACTCCAAATCTTAGTGATCAATGGAAAGCAAGATGATAAGAGTGACAGCTTATGCCAACTCGCCATCCCCAAGTGACGCTGATATTTTATTTCTGCACCGGACAGGCGGTCACTGAATTAAGGCTGAGCTTTGACCTCAAGCGAAGATCTACTCCTGAAGTATGAATGTGGCTGCGGGAGCTGCTTTCCGCAGACGCGGAGCACTACAGCCCTCTGCAACCGGGGGGTGCGCCTCCACGATGCTGATGTTGGCCCTGATGTACTGAGTGGCGCATGTTTAGTTGATTTTCTAGTGAAAGCAGGGAGCAGAAAAATTGCAACTGGGCACATCTGTTGTGCAGGGCCATATGTAAGAGAAAAGATTATTTTTTTCTCACCTTTTTTTATATCTGTACCAGGCCAGAACTTGCCTCTTACACATATCCATTATAATGTCGGAGGCAAGGTGTAAGAATAATTCTGAAAATACTGGAGAATCATGATGGAGACCTCACTGGAGGCAATTAAAAAAGATCTACAGCCATCATTAAGATTTTATTCATCATCTGTTCTCTGTCTTGACACTGTTAGATACTTCACAGGCAGTTCATATACACTTGCTATCCAGTGACATCATAAGTGATAAAATATTATATACTACTGGAGTGTTAAATTCTTCACATAGTTTTAAAATAATTGAAGTAGTCTCCTGTCACAGAAAGTTGGACACATTAAGGAGAATTTCTAGATCAGAAAGTTATGTACCTGACAGTGTATTTTTAAAAGTAAGATATATGTCTTGTGAGGTTTGCTGATTACCTTCCAATTATAAAAGACTAAAAAAATGTCTGAATAATACCGTTTCTCACTTGGTTGCTCTTTCACTTATGCTGAAAATTACAGTTTCTATATCATCCATGGTAAATGGATAAAAATATCCATGATCAAACCAACTTTGAGTAATAAACTTGAAAACATGTGATTAGCAGACTAATAAATCTTGCCTTAATGAGAAACAGCTGTTCTGTTACACTGTGCCTACAGGACATTCTCATGTTTGGCTCAAGGTTTGGGAACATTCTGCATTAATTAGACTTTAAAAGAATAAAAGCAGTTATAAAGCTTTAGCTGGGCTCAGGCAGTCACTGCTTAATTTTATATATGCATTTGATTTGAGAAATTGTAGATAAACATGCCTGAATTTCCTTCTTTTTCAGGCCATGCAGCACCACTGTTGCACATTACTACCTGTGCCAACAGGCCATGTTTTCCTGGAGTGTTATGTTTTGATCGGAAACCCCCTTACATCGGATACGTCTGTGGCCGATGTCCAGCAGGGTTTTTTGGAAATGGCCGAATCTGTACCAAAGTCCCCAGACCAGGTATTTTCTCATTTTTAGAGTTTTAAAAAAGGTTCTGCATACAAAGGCTGTAAGTAGATAAGAACTAGTGTGGCATTACCATACAATGTACTTTATAATCAAACACTGACAGCTTTCTTCTTTCACTCTTACCTGATGAGCAGCTAGCAGGTCTTTTTACAGGAATACCTGGCTCTGTGAGTCAAAATTCAACAGATTAAACACCTCATTTGCCACTAGGGAGAATTCTTCACTACAGGACTTACTAGGTGGTATGAATCACCACATCTGTGTTTCTGCCACAGCACTGGCACAGGATTTCAAAACCTGTTTCCTCCTCAGTAAGATCAGAACATGACACATGCCAGTGTCAACCCGCTTTCCTTTTTTCCTAATTCTTTTGCTGCAAGGCCTCTTTTCTCCAAGTTGACCTGGAAGATGATGATAAACAAAGTGTCATGTAAGAACAACTATGCCAACAACTAATGGCAACAGATAATGAAAGCATTTCAATAGTATTGTTCGTAGCCTGAGCAATAATCTTCCTCAGGGAACTCTGAAACTCAGCTCGTCCCATTAATCTCCGAGGACTGATCATTAGAAGAGGTCTTCTGCTGTGATAAAAGAAAAGCTGGGTCCTGACCTCAGGCAGAAAGTGGCAATAGCATAGCAACCACTCATCAGTTATCCGAACCTGCTCTCTCTCAATGAAATTCTCATAATTCAATGTATGGTTCTCCAGGGACAGTCTGAGCAGTTGTCCCCTTTTTACTGCACAGAGTGATTTGCCAAGAGAGCTCATGTTTATTCCTTAATAACAGTAGTTACTAGGTTAGATTCCTTGGTTTTTTTCTAAACCTTTTTCTTAAGTATTCAAGACAGACTGGCTTGAAACCTGTCCAATTATTCCCCAACATCCTACACTTGAGAAACCCACCTTAACTCCCTGTTCTGTATCCAAATCAATGACTGTTACCTTAGTGTTATATTTTAATGCACACTATCAAAGCAGAAGCAATTTTACTTAGTGTAGGCATCATCCAATCTCTTTGAACTATAAATTGATTTTACCCAGTTCTGTGAATCTAAAGGTCACAAAAATAAACCCAACTTTCTTTTTCTCTAGCAATGACTATGTGCAATGTATTACTTAGTTTGTCAGTCACTAAGTCAGCTATTGACTCTTCTATAACTTGGCAAAGCTGTAAAAGTAGTTGAGTAAAAAAAAAAAAAAAAAATCACTGAGCATATAAATAACATTTCCGTTATTTCTCCAAGCTGCACCTTGTCATTAATGGGATATTGGGATATACATTGTACACCTCAAAGGTCATTTAAATGCTGTTGGTTAGAACAGATGGTCTACAGCTGTAGATATGGGTATGGTAAATCAGACACACTTATATAAACATTAACCAATAAATCTGTGTATGTTCTAAAAAAGGGAAGTATGGACACTGGTTGTCATTTACTGTGATTCATACCTGTCATACACAGCTCCAGGCAAGATTTAGGAAATATCCCAAGTATCAGCACCTGAACCCAGTACATGGTTCTTTCAATAGCATGTTGTATATCAGAGGCTGGGGAGTTGCTTTTCTTTTTCTTCACAAATATGAAAACTGAGTCTGGGACTTCATGCTGCGAATGTGGTCATGCAACCCAGTTGAGCAGTTTGGAAAAGGAATGAAGAGGAATTGTTTTTTGTTCCACCAGAACCTTATATTCATTCATGTGAATTATATCACAATATAAACTATGAGAATCTTGTGCCTCAAGGTTAAATGAGAGTAGTCATTTGTTTTAATATTTAGAAATGAAAGCAATTGCTGAAGCTGTACGAGTGTCATAATTTATGATGAAAATGATCAGTTTAACTTACTTTCTCATGTGCTTTGCTAGTTTAAGCAGAAATATTGTAGAGCTTTGAAGATTAAAAGATAGCAGACAAAAAAGAATGAACTTTCAATTAAATTTATGTACGGTTATGGATTATGATTATTGTGACATCCTCCCTGTTAGAATAATACCTTCTCTCCCCTGTAACTTATGCTATCAGTCTTCAAATGGAACAGAACAAATCCTTTTCAGCTTGCTACACTGCTTGTAAAGGTACTGAGATTATGTGCCACTTCACTCTAATTCCAGTAATTTTAATCTAAAAATACTCTTGCTAATCCCTACTTTGTACTTTTATTGGATGCTTCTGACATGAAGTTATACTCAGTTGTTGTGATTTAAGGATTAAAGGATAAGTATTTTTTTATACAGATGCCACAAAAATTACCCAACTGCCTTTGTAGTCTACTGAAGTGAAAAAATATGCTAGAAGAAAATTGTTTCCTAAGACAGTGTTTGATGATCTGCACCTAAAAGTCCTTCAATTTTGATTTATAATCAACAAAATATCATTTCCTCAGCATTTGATATGTGATAGGTATTAATCTTTTGATGTACTTCACTTACTGCAAACTATGTAACTCCACAAATAAGTTTCTGAGCTATATTTACCTGCTCTGCCAACAATGCAGGGTCTCATTCTGTCCTCACTTGTCTGTTTTACGTGGTTTATGCCAGTAGTTTGTACAAGTTTGAATCAACTGGACTTTGTTGCAATTGGTTTTGAAGTACATCAGAGTAGTCTTAAGGAAAAACATCACCAGTATCAAAACTGGTATGGAGTTTCGTATATAAAGGGAAATTGTTCTTTTTAAAAATACAAACTCACATGAGAAACAAAAGAGTATTTCTATCCCTTCAAAATCCATAAAGTAGGTATCCTACTTTTTTTTTCCCTCACTAGTAGGATCTGAAGTCCCTTAATTTTGCTGGCATTGCAGTACAGAGGGAAGTCTAAGGAATTTAAATCTGTCCAGGCTTCACTGGGCACATCTCACATTTGTATAAAATATCTGTTACCTTTTTGTTAGAAGAGGCAGATCTATTAAATCAAACCATGCAGTATCATTGGTCATATTCTTGGCACAAAGAAAATGAATATATCCTGATGGGGGATGCTGGTGATGTTATTGTATGTTAGAATATTAGTTCTCGTCAGATGCTACTGGTATTCCTCTAGACTGGTTTCATCACTCACAGTCACAGAGATACCCATCTGTTTGCACTTTCTCTAGCAGGTCAGGGAGGTTGGTGTCATCACAAAAGATTTATTTTTTTCCTATTGGTAAATCAGCAATTTTACTGGACAAAGCAGCGCCACATCCATCAGCGATAAAAGATTGTTCAGAGCCACCTCTTTCTGCCTCTCCTGGTTTAGGGAGCCGAAGATCAAGGGAAAGGATTATTTTATGATCTCTGTAATCGAGTTCTGCTTTTCCATTCTGAACACCACTGCTAGCTCTCCTGCCATAGCAGTTAATTTGCAGTATTCTAGACATTTGGCACTTGATATATTTTTGTATGTGCCAGCTATTTGTTATGCCTATGCACTCTATATTTTACGCTATCCCAGTACCTGCACTGTACTTCTGAATTCACTTTGATTTTACATCAGAGACACCTATGTGACCTCCTCATTTGCACCACTGTCAGATCAACATCAAGGTGTGGATTAAAAGAAGAATAAAATGTTTTGAATTAAAAGTGTGTATTTAAACACATAGTGCTCAGTCTAACACCAGAGGAATTCTAAGTTTTACCTTCTTAACTTTTAACTTTGAAATCACTGCTGTCATTATTAGCACTCGTCGTTGATCACTGTCCATGAAAAATAAATAACTCCAGTAAGAGCTTTGGTCACCAACCCAAGGGTTCATCTTTGGAGCTAACTGCAGGAGTAGGCAGCTCTTACTGCCTGGTACCAATCAAATGATTATGCTTCAAGAGATGACTGAAGAACATAATGGACTCCTTTCATCTCTTATCTAACAGAATTGATTAATTTGCATTAAAAAGATCAAGGCCCAGATTCCAGTCTCACTTACACCAGTGTAAATCATAAGTGATGCTATTAAATGAATAGCATTACACCAATGGAGTGAGTAGAGCACTGCTCCTGGAAGACACGTCTTCAAACCTGTTTGGGTAGGCACATCACCCACAGAACTTTTAAATACCAAATCTTTTTGTACCGGTAGGTGTAGATAAAACACATGCACTTTCAGCATTCAGTGGGTGCTTTGCAATAAGTAATTAACCAGTCTTGACTTGCTTTATGCAGTGAGTTACAGGGCTCGCCTGAAGGCAGGCATATTTTGATGCTGCAGTCCTTAGCTGTGAAGCTGGCTGAGATCCTCGCAAAGAAGGCATAACAGAAATACGAAATAAATAGTAAATGATATTCTGATTTCCCTCTGTGTGGTAATAGCTCTCAGCTATTCATGTGGGCTCCAAAACCAGAAAGCACTGCATCTCAATGCCATGGCTTCCAGCTCCTAGCTCTGACTCAGGCCTTTGAAACCCCATAAACAATCCACTTTTTGGAATTTAAGGTGAAAGTTGACAATCCTTTTCTGTTACAGTGTTTATGGTTTGTGTATTGCAGGACAAAATGTACACTTTTTCAGGCTGACCAATTACGATGCAATGATGTTTCCTTCAAAGGGTACCTGATGAAATGACACCTGAAGTGGGGTTAGAAATGCCACACAAAGACATTCCATATAGATTTGGACACGTGAAAGACACAGTTTTGCAAATAGTATACCAGTAATCTTCGCATGAGGCCAGGATCAGCCTGTCCTTTTGGACATAAGCTGTGACCCTTTCCTGCCATCTGAGTATGTAATTGGCACTCAAAATCCACTTTCATAACTGTCAAGATAGAAAGGGAATCTGAGAGTCTTTCTGATGGCTTTCTCCTCCTTAGGGGTAACCTAATAAAATATTAACTATTTTCAGAAAAGTATCAACAGAGGCCTGTATGGTATATGCTATGACCCAAACATAACAACTAAAGTAGGCACAGTGGGAAGAATATGTTTAGATAATTTAAAAGATAAACGGTTTCTAGCTTCACTGATCCATATACTCTGTCAATCCAGAATTTGCTAAGTGCTTCC